CAGTTCTGGTTTAGTCATTATTAGGCCCTAATAGAGTTTCATTATGAATACAGCATTTTGGCAATACAGATCCTTTACTTCCAGGCCTCCACTGTCTCAATCCCTCTTAATGGTTCCCCATACAATTAGGTGCATTTTGCGGTTTTCCACTCTATGGTTCCGGAAGAAAGCTGACTCAACCGCTTGATCTCCCCCACTATGTCTTTAGTAATGATTAGTGTCTACATCTTAGTACGGTAATGATGACAGTACTAACTTGATGAGAACTATCCTCCCTGCCACACTTAGGAACTTCCCCTTCCAGCTTGCTAGTTTATCTTTGACTTTTTGAATCAAGGGGTCAAAAGTTGTCTTTATAGCTCGTTTATGCAGAAGATGGACACCAAGATATTTCCCCAAGTCTGCAATAAGGCTAACTACCAAAATTCTGCTGAACTCATAGGCTCTGTTGAAATGTACATTCTTAGAAATAAAAACTTTAGATTTAGCAAGACTAACCTTGTGGCCTGATATATTGCATAATACTGACATGATACTTTTCATTGTCTCCATCTGGTCCACGAAGGCCTCACTAAATAGGAAGAGGTCATCTGCAAAGAATAAGTGGGAAATGCCTGGTCCTCTCCTACTAAGCTCTAGCAGTTTCTATCAGCCATTTTCAACTTCATTTTGAATCAGATGGCCTAGTCTCTCCATGCATAAGATGAAAAGGTATGGGCTCAGTGGATCTCCCTTCCTAACCCCTCTTGTAGGTAGAAATTGGTTTGTTGGGCACCTGTTCCATAAGATCCTTATTGAGGCTGAGGTAACACTTTGCATGATAAGACTTATGAAATTTTGTCTTAGTCCCAAGCTTTGCAAATTATATTCTATGAATCCCTTGTCCAAGCGGTCATACGCTTTCTCCATATCAACTTTGATAGCGACATACCTGTCCCTATTCTTTATGGTTCGCATGATGTGGATGGCTTCTTGTGCCAAAATGATGTTATCACACCCCTGTCTACCACTTACAAAGCTGCACTGGTTTGGTCCGATGAGATAATCCATGATTCTTCTAAACCTATTTGCCAATACCTTTGTGATGATCTTGAAGCTAAGATTGCATAAGGATATTAGCCTAAAGTCCTTCATCGTAATCAATTGCTCAACCTTCGAAATCAATACTATATTAGTCTGGTTTATGTCTTTTATTCGTTGGGGGTCATTGAGCACTTTGTTCACCATATCACATATTTTGGCCCATTACTTGCCACTGTGAGTGGAAGAAGTGGGGTGATATACCATCTGAGCCTGGTGCTTTGAATGCCCCCATTTTGAGCACACATTTTTTATTTCCACATCTCACACACTACCTTGGAGTTGATTCAATTGTTGTTCTGATAGCAGCGGGAAAGTATGTGACTAGGATGTGTGGCTTGTTACCCCGGCATCTTTAGAGTAGAGGGTCCTGAAAAAATCCAATGCCATGTTTTTTGAGGATGACTGGTCCGTTGCCTAATTTCCATTTCCATCTTGCAAAGTTTCAACAGTACTTTTCCTCCTTTTGATCACTGTTGATGCATGAAAGTACTTAGTGTTCTTGTCCCCAAATTGCAATCACCTACATTGGGATTTCTGGAACCAAATTAGTTCTTCTTGGTTAATAACTTTTGCATATTCCATCCATAGTTTCTTTTCTAGTTTCAATAGCCCTGGATGGAAATTCAATTCTTTTGCCTTGTCCAAGCCTTCAAGTCTCCTAATTAAATTGTCTTTCTTCTTGGGAATACTACCGACTACCTTATAATTCCACTTTGTAGCCTGTTTCACAAAGTGTTTATGCCCCTCTAGCCAATTCTTCCCACTCCAAGACTCCTTGACCACTTTGGGGAACTCCTTTTCCATTGCCCATGCAACTTAAAGGGAGATAACCGTTGAAGTTCTCTATTTCTGCTCCCCTGTGTAACTACAATCACCTGATGATCTGATTTGAATTGCAGCTAGTAGAAAGCCTTGTGGTAAGGATTACATAGGACCTAGTTGAGATGTTCCTTTGTCTCATTTCTAGTCCAAGTAAACTCTGCCTATTTTATCTTCCGAACTGAGGAAAGTATTGAAATCACCTAGTATTAGCCACGACCCATTACACGTGCCCGCTTTACAGTATAGTGTTGACCAAAGATTTAGTCTTCTATTTACCAAGGTATCCCCATACACGAAAGAGGAGTAGGTCTTTTCTCTTGTAGCTCTGTTCATGATACGACAATGGAGGAATTGGGTATTTGAGTCCATATATTCTACTTCAATCTCCTAATAATCTCATAGGACTCATATGCCTCCTGCAAATCTAGTAGCTTCTAATCTCAGCCAGTTATTAAAGCCCAACTTGTGTACTGTTTTTTTTGCCCGGGTACCACTTATTTTGGTTTCTAGAAGTCCCATAACCTGAATTTCATACTTGATGACTTCCTTGAAAATACCTAGGAACATTTACCCGCCTATCCCATGACAATTCCAAGACGCTATAATAAGTAAACAATCAAAATAAACACGGGAAACAGGCTAAGGAAGAGTTCACTTATCTAGTGGTTTTGATTCCTTTGCGTTGACCTCCTTGGGAATATTTCCCTCTAGGCCCCCCTTAGGTGGTTTGGGCTTAGTTCCTCGGTCCACAGGGGGGTCACTCTCCGCCAATATACCCATATCGTGCTTCAACATTATCATTGCAATTTGACTTTCTTTATTCCGAGAAGTTGTCTGTGTCATTTGGAGGTTTAGATTTCCTGGGGCATACTCTGATGTACCCATTTGGGATAATTTTGGGCTTTGGGCTTGATCTCCCTTTAATGTAATAGGTTCTGGATGATTCATGGATCTACTTACCACACAGTGGATTCTCTGTCTACTTGCTTTTTTCCTTCACCTTGCTTTAGTCCGCTTTCTTGTCTATTCAGCTCAGGTTCGCTAGTAATCATCACTTGGGCTTTCTTCGAGCCCAACACAATTGGCCTCATATTTGCATTTACTTTAGCCACATAAGTGTTCTTTAGGGTGGGAGGGCTCTTAGTCTTCCCTTGTTTTTTGTCCTATCATTAAATCACCTTTTCTATGATCAACTTTCCTATTCTTGTATAGTACAATTGCCTTTTCCAAGTTGTCAGAGCTAATTTCATGCTCTACTCCATTAGACTCTAGATCACCTATGGTATCCCTTTCTTCTTCTAGGTCTGTGTTTACTGCAAATCTTAGTGGGGTAGTTTTACCTGCTGTTTTCTTCTCTAACTTCGCACCATGTGCTGTACTTTCTGTCCTTCCCATGTTTCCTGCTTTCCTCGATAATCGTGTTTGTTGACCCTCCCACAAACATCCAGGGTCTGAACTCCTCCTTTTGCCAGCAAAACTTTCGCCAATGACATACTCGACTATTCTGGTTTTGGATCACTCAGCGTATTTGAGGTAGAAGCTGTTTCTATGTTGCAATTCCACATACAGCTCTCTTTACGGTGTCCATATTGACCACATGCAAAACTTATGAGATCTAACCCCTCGTATTCCATATTGAATAATGTTGAAGCTAGGATTATTTTGGGATCAGTTTCTTTTGTAGATCAAGCCCTACACAGATCCTTGCATATCTCCCCCTTTCTACCTTTTATCTTCAATCACCAATATTCGTCAGTGTATGCACCACCTGCAAGGTTTTCCCAATCATATCTCCCAATCTCCAGATGTATTTCCTTGTATAGTAGTGAAGGGGTATATTGGGGATCCTTACCCATATAGCTATTGTCCCTAGCTAGTTATGAAAAGGATCAAAATACAGTGACCATCTCTGCACTAGGATGCTGTGTTGAAAGATGACCTAGGGTCCTTCGAATAATATCCTTTTATAATGGTAGCCCTGTCCTTCTACTTCATTGAAACTGACGACATAATAGTTGTTTGGTAGATCCACCGGGTCAAATTCATTAAAGCCCTAGATGCGACAAAGGTGTTCTTTCAACTTATGAATGTTGAATCTTGCCCCAGCACTGTAATGATTAGGGCATTATTCCACAGTCTGCATCTTTCATTAAATTCCTCTTGTGATGGGGGCATACGGGGTAAACATTCATAAGCTTCTTTATCTCCTCTGATGGTTCTGGGAGCTTCTATTCCCTATCAAGCAAATCTGAAATAAGTGGGCCTTCCTCTATATCAGAGGCTCCATACGCTACTCCATTATACCTAGCGCTTTTAAAACCAAGTAAAGAGTCCTTACACGAGGCTTGCTTTTGCCCCTTTTATGTGGTTGTTCCTATTTCTTCATTTGGAGTCTTCTCCGATTCATTCTCCATATCCAACATTTGATCAGACATGATGGAATCGTCTTTCACCTCCTTTTTTGACTTCTTTGCTCTACTGTCCCCCTCTTTATCCTTCGGCAGACGATCCGGTGGCATTTTCCAGTTGGTGGCTTCTTCCATACAGAGCTCGGATTTTTGGCACGAAAACCAAGAGAGAGCGCCTATAGTTTTGTTAACCAAGCCTTTGTAGGACCTAACTTTTATAGTTATATTGTCTACAATTTATAAGTTTTTCTGCATAGTTTATATGATGTTTTTTTAGGGGATATCTTGAGTTTATATATTTTCTATCTTTTAAAAAGAAACATTTTTCTTTGTTAATTTTCTATTATTGTCAATTTTTTAGCCAAGTTTTATCTATTTTCGTTATATAATTTTTACTATGAATTTTTACATTCTAAATACATTTAGTTTTAAAATTAAAAAATTAATAAAACTAATAAAAATAAACAGGATGTCTTGGTCCCTTCTTGTCAGAAAAGCTGTCTCGTCCCGTCCCGTGAGCACTCCTACTCAAAAAGGACAAACACCCCCTTTTTGTTATTTCATAATTTTAGAAAATATATTATGTAGTTATATGTCCTATAATATCATAACCAATACGTGCGTATCGATTTGTATTTAGTGTCTATTTGCTACTATTCCTTAACTTTGGCATATTTTTAATTTCAGGGACTCGGCATGTTGTCTCTGTCAGCCATGCTTCCTTCATGTACTACTTTGGAGTTAGAATTGGCATCATGTTCTCCAAAGTTGCAAGTGATGTTGTTCTTCTTCTCGCTTTACCTAGTGGCCATTGGCCAAGGAGGTCATAAGCCTTGTGTTCAAGCTTTTGGAGCTGATCAATTCGATAATCACCATCCAGAAGAATGCAAAGCCAGAAGCTCATTCTTTAATTGGTGGTATTTTACCATGTGTGCAGGCTGCTTGCTCACTCTCTCTTTCTTGAACTACATCCAAGAAAACTTTAGTTGGGTTCTTGGATTTGGAATCCCTTGTCTTGCAATGCTCATTGCTTTGGTTGTTTTCTTGTTTGGAACTAAGACTTACAGATTTCACTTTGAAAAGAACAACAGGAGTCCTTTTGTTAGAATTGGCAGAGTTTTTGCTGCAGCTATAAGAAACCGACGAATTACTGTGTCGGACATTGCAATCAAAGATGAAGCTTGTAATATCATTCCATGCCAATGTTCTAAACAATTAAAGTAAGACATTGAAAGATTCATGTGATATTGTATCAATGACAATGGCCTCTTGAACTGAGTGGTTTTTTTGTTGTCAACCATAGCAGGTTCCTAAACAAGGCTCTGTTTGCACCTAAAGGATCTAAAGAAGAGGAGGTATGTAGCGTTAATGAGGTGGAAGAAGCAAAAGCTGTACTTAGGCTTGTTCCTATATGGGCTACAAGTTTGGTGTTTGGTATCGTTTATGCTCAAGTTCGAACTTTCTTCACCAAACAAGGGTTTAATATGGACAGGACAATTTTTCCAGGTCTTGTTATACCTGCTGCTTCTTTACAATCCCTTGTCACCTTGGCCATTGTTATTGTCAGCCCCATCTATGATCGGATATTCGTACCAATAGCAAGAGCCATCACTGAGAAACCCTCTGGAATCACAATGCTACAAAGGATTGGAACTGGATTATTTTTATCGATAATTACCATGGCTATGGCGGCTCTTGTTGAGATGAAAAGATTGGAAGCGGCTGTTGAATTTGATCTAGTTGATAAACCAAATGAAAGTATACCACTCAGTGTGTGGTGGCTGATTCCCCAGTTCTTCTTATTTGGAGTTTCTGAGGTTTTCACTATGGTTGGTCTCCAAGAATTTTTCTATGATCAGGTACCAGATGAACTAAGAAGCATGGGCCTTGCCCTTTACTTGAGTGTAATTGGTGTGGGGAGCTTTTTAAGCAGCTTTCTGATCTCTGTGCTAGAGGTAATAACTGGTAAACTGGGAAATAGTAGCTGGTTTAATGACAATCTCAACCAGGCACATATTGATTACTTTTATTGGTTACTTGCTGGGCTCAGTGTGATGGGGTTGACTTTATTCATCTTTAATGCAAAATCATACATCTATAATCAGAAAAGTATTGCATAGGGATGACATGTTTCATTCTGTCATTTCAAAATGTATTAAGAAGTATAATGTATTGTGTTCAGTGTAGTGTTAAACAAGAAAAAGGCTTAATGCGGAGCAAAATCCATATTCGAAATGTTTATTCTCTTGGTGTAGCAGGAAAAATTTTCATTAAATTTTTAGTAGTTAAATGGAAAGCAGGGAACCAAAAGGTAGTTATGGATGAGAATAGGTTCATAACTTCTTTCATAATGCCGTTGGCTGATAATATGCTACTCATCCCATCCAAATAGTTTTTGTATTCCAGTAGGTGCTTAGCAGTAGAAAATCCATTCATGATTGAGACTCTGAAGTCATACATGAACAGGAAAGAGTGAGTTTTAGGTCTTCCTTTCAATTAGGAAACTTTTAATCGGTCTTGTTTTCTGTTTTGGATGAGTTTGAAAAGGCTAGGATTATGATTTTTGTGTTGTATGATTCGTATAAAATGGGCAAGGAAGATGTGGAAGAGCCCTAAGCATTAATGTAATTCTCCATCAAAATGTTTCATGTTTGAATAATTGGTTTGGGAATGGAGATTCTGTGGCTTTTGCTTCTGTTTTCATTCATAAAGTCTTGGGCTAGAGTGAACCAGAGGGAGTGATGTCATTCTGGGCGGCCTCTGGTCAATAATATAAGAAGTTAAAAAGAAATTATGGTCCAAAATATAAGAAGTTGCCAAGATAATTAAACAATTTTGCCCCTATTAATTGATAACTGATTTTCGTAATTTTGAGGATGTGACTCCTTGTAATCTGTTTTCTTAAGGTTAAAATAAGAAAATTTCATTATTTAAGACACATTTACTTACTAAACTACCATTTCTTGGTTTATTGGAACTAAAATACAATCTCTATGATGGCATAGGGCTGAGTAAATTCTTTCTATTCTAAAATGCAAAAACTCCTCACATGACTCAGCCCGAAAAAGAAAATCCTCACTGTGACCATATTGTTGTGCCGAAACTTGATTTAGCTAGTTACATTACTATACTGTTGCTGAACAAAGGTTTGAATGCCCTGGCTATTGATGAGAATTGGCAAGAAACATGGTCCAAGTAGCTATAAGCATTGCAATGGAATGGATTTTGATATTGGGAATCCTATTTGGCATTTGGGGGAATCAAAGTTTTAAATTCTTTACAGGTTCAACTGTCAAATTCTCATTCAGGGACGTTGGGATAATAATCTTGTGAAAACCCACTAGAGAGAGTAAAATAAAAGTTACGTTAAATTATAATAAGAAAACATGTGTGATTTTCAAATTAAAAAAAATTGAAGTCATAAAGTCACTAGGATATCTAATATTTAATAGAATCTTCCTAGAATTCCAACTAAACCTTAAAATAATATAATTTAAATTTTATTAAAAAAAGATAATAATAAAAACAGGGAAAATGACATAAAAAGAAGCACGAAATTAGCAAATATCAAAATAGGAAGCTAACACTTGATAATGCCTAAAAGAGAGGAACAACTTGAATTGACATTTTGAAATTAATACTTGGTAATGGCGAAGTTGTCTTCCCACATGAGTTTTTTTTTTTTTGGAGAAAGTGTTAAAAGGTAAGATTTGATAACGCCACCACTTGATGTCAAAATTAAGAGTAATCATTAGGTCACCAATGAGTAACAATTAAAATAATGTAAAAAAGATACTACACCCGATCCTTAATATAAAAACTCATTTAACTTTTATTTTAGGAAAAATGACATTGAGGTCCCATGCAACACAAAATACTACAAAAGGGGCCCAGGAAATTTGTTAGTGATTCTGAAGTCCCAAAGGGACTTGATTGCAATTTGGTGAATGTAAAAAGACGCCTTTGCCCTTGGTGAGATGCACCCACACTAACTGAAAGCTACCCTGTTTTTCAGTCTGAAAATCAGCACTCCATATGCAGGAAGCAAGAGGAAAAAAAACATAAACTTCATTCTGCTTTTTCCCCCACTCCCATCTGAAAATCTCATCCACCCCATTAATGTCGATCATTGGCAAAAATTGCTTGTGTTTTTGGTTTGGTGTGTGTTTGGCCATTCAAGTCGGGGTTTTATTATAGGTAGGTAAGGTGATTATGGGTGTTCTATTTCTGGGTATATTGTGAGTGGGTTGAAGGTGGGCTTGCTCTGTTTGGGCATGGTTCAAGGGGAATTGATGAGAAAGATGAAGGTTGGTGTGGTTAAAAATCCTTATTGCGAAATAAGAAAATATGTTGTCAAGATGGGCCGTGACAGTTGTCAATATAGCTTCTTGATTTGTCAATAGTAATAGTATTGTATAGATTTACATTAACTAATTTTTTAAAATTTTTACACAAAGGCCATGACCTTCTGTACTATTGACTCAATAGTAGAGGTCACAAAAAGAGGAAGAAAAGGCAACAAAAAAGGGTGAGTAGTTACATGAGGCAAATGGAAAAAAAAAAAAAAAAAGCCACTTTGATCCTAGACAAATGATGGCAAAAGAATTTTTTCGTAAATAGAAGTGACAAATTTTTTTTTTTAGATATCACACCACACACAAATAATTAGTTTGATACTGGATACATGTAACTATATGCTTTTTTTAATGGGTATAAAATCTGTGTAATCACATGTATATGAAGTTGTAAATGAAAGTTAGCTGTGTATTACATTCTGATGCATAGTTAGTTGTCATTATCCGTACCCTTCATTGGCAATATATGCTTCGTCACTTGTCCCTCACTGCACCATCAGTTGTCAATTAATGTGCTGATATAAATTTAAAAAAAATATGATTTTTGTTACGTAATGTTATACAATGTTATATAATATCACTAATTCCTTAAAACTAATTCATTTTTAATAATATGATATAGAATACTTATTAAAAGTTAATAATCACTGATATGAAGTCATAAAATCACTTGTCATGAGCAACATATTCACTTGTTAATGGTTTCAATGTAACTTGACATGTTAGATTCTACTGTCATTTCAATTGTTATTACCCGTACCCTGCATTGTTAGTAGACCTATTGTAACTTGTTAATGGAGTATTGTGACTTGTCAATTAATTTGCTGATGTAAGTTGTCAACAATATGAATTCAAGTTACATAACCTGTTTTAGTGCCATATGATATTTTCAATTACTCTGTCATATTATATTTTGGTTATATTGTTATATATAATCATTCTTAATAAAATGTCAATAGTGGTACTATAATTTGTCAATAGTCGCACTGTGACTTATCAATGGTAGCATGGTAACTTGTCAATGGTAGTACTGTGACTTGTTGTTTACCGAATAACTTCTTGAAAGGGTTGGGCACTGCGACAAATATAATCAGATGCCGCAGCGCCATACGCAGAATGGCAGCTCCTTGGGATAGATGGGAGCGCCACGGCAGATATGGTCAGATGCCGCGACAGATTATTAGTTGTCAATGGTAGCACACTAACTTGTCAATGGTGACGCTATGACTTATTAATGATGGCACTGTGACTTGCTAATAGAGCATTGTGACTTGTTAATGAAGGTGATGTCTCTTATCAATTCAACATAAATTTAAGTAACACCTTCTTAATAATTATATTTTAATGCAAATATTACTTAACATTATAAATAAATGACATCTTCAGTTGTAAAAATTTTGAATATCAATTGTTAATATCCACACATTCATTTATTACAAAATTTATATCACTGGTCATTAACTCCTGTTATATTACTTGTTATTTTGGATAACTCAGGTTGTTAATTTCTATGCTGGGTGCTGCTGAGCTATACATAACTGAGAATTTTAAAAGAAATGAGTTACTTTATTTTTCAGTAATTGATGATATAATTTCCTTCGATTCTTCATTACTTGTGCCCTCCTTTATATTTGTTGTTCTTATACTACCTCCCATATATCTCATATCATCTTCTCCATCATTTATAAACTTTCCCCCTATATGAACAAAGCAAAATAGATGCTTTCCAGATATACTCGCCATCAGTAATTTAAGCCTGCATCAAGAATCACGCAACTGTCACTGACAAGTAAGGAGCTATGTTGACAACTGTCGTGGCACACATTGACAATTATCGCGGCTTGATTGACAACACAATATCCCTTTTCGTGCTAAAAGTTTCTACCCACACTAACCTTCATCTTTTTCTTTCTTTGCCACTAAACTAACATCAGAACAGAGCAAAACCATTAACAAGTGAATATGTTGTTCATGACAAGTGATTTTATGACTTCATATCAGTGATAATTAACGTTTAATAAGTATTTTATATCACATTATAAAAAATGGACTAGTTTTGATGAATTAGTGATATCGTATGACGCTATATAACATTATGTAACAAAAATCATTTTTTTTAAATTTATATCAGCACATTAATTGACAACTGATGGTGCAATGGGTGACAAGTGACGAAGCATATATTGACAATGAAGGATGCGGATAATGACAACTAATTATGTATCAGAATATAATACACAGCTAACTTTCATTTACAACTTGATATACATGTAATTAGAGTGATTTTATAACCCATTAAAAAAACATATATTGCATATATCTAGTATCAAACTAATTATTTGTGTGTGTTGTGACATCTACAAAAAAAATTTATGTTATTTCTATTTACGAAAAAATTCTTTTGCCATCATTTGTCTAGGATCAAAGTGGCTTTTTTTTTCCATTTTTTTTTTTTCCCTATGTAACTACTCACCCTTCTTTGTTGCCTCTTCTTCCTCTTTTTGTGACCTCTACCAATGAGTCAAGAGTACAGAAGGTCATGGCTTTTGTGTAAAAAATTTAAAAAATAGTTAATGTAAATCTGTACAATGCTATTACTATTGACAAGTCAAGGAACTATATTGACAACTATCGTGACCCATATTGACAACATATTTTCGTATTTCGTAGCAAGGGTTTCTAACCACACCAACCTTTATCTTTCTCATCAATTCCCCCTAAACCATGCCTAGACAGAGCAAGCCCACCTTCAACCCACCCACAATATATCCAGAAACTGAACACCCATAATCACTCTACCCACCTATAATAAAACCCCAACTTGAATGACCCAACACACACCAAACCAAAAACACAAGCGATTTTTGCCAATGATCGACATTAATGGAGTGGATGAGATTTTCAAATGGGAATGGGAAAAGAAGCAGAATGAAATTTGGGTTTTTTTCTCTCTTGTTCCCTACGTATG